AAACCGCATCTAGCGCGCATCCGTTTGGTTTGTAGGCAAACTGAAGATAGTGCACTCGCAATAGTTATGCACCCAAACACAACGATTTCCAGAGAACCCACCAGACCCATTGTATATATATATATACGTATATATAATAGTGGTTAAATCAGTTTACTGTTTCTTATCTTGTAGAACATTTGAAACTAATTCTTCTAACGAAATATTGGTTAATCAGTCACGATCAAACAGTAAATTCGTTTCCCACAACTCACTTATTGTTACAGTGTAGTATGGAATTGGGGCAATCACTAATGCCAACCTCTGTAAGGCAAAACAGCAGTGAGTCTACCACACGACAAATTATACTTTCAGCCAAAATGAATAAGACCGTTACAACCATAAAACAAACACTAGTTGGAAGGAAACGAACGTTATGGATAAAAGTGACCATAAAATAATATCCTAACTGCCTCACTTGTCTGCCCCGTCTGTGGGAGGTAGGAATCCGGACAGGAGGAAGCACAGGTCCTCCAAACTGAGACCGGGTTCTCTGATCCAGGCAGGGATCAAATTGTGCGCACCATCCTCGCAGTAGTAACTCTGAGGTAAAGTGGGTTCAAAAAAAGAGTAAATGGGAATGGGAATCAAGATACTTTGCAACGTGAATCCGGCTGTTTGTGCTTCTAATTCAGAGATCTTTAGCGGTGCTGGCCTCTGTGGTGCACAAATGGCACTGATTCTGGCTGATTTATACCCCAGTGATCGAGCATATATTAGGAATTCTGTTATGCAAAATTATAATTTTTACATCAGAGTGGTTTTATCAAAGATGAAACCACAATCACAATTTTGTACCATACGGATAGGCTGACTGACGATGGAGGTGTTATGTCAGTGGAGATACGGGTGATACGATAAGCATACACAAGGCAGGGTTATTGCACACTGAAATCAGGTACTCTCAACATGCACACGAAGCATGTGTCAGCAAACGACAGTAACTCACGTCACTGATTTTCAATTTACAGTTCAATCAAAAATTCAATGACAGAAATCATCAGTAGTATATAATAATGTTATACTTCACCAAGGCTGCTACCCGACGAGAGAAGTGTGAATGATGAATTACGTTGTAAAGAAAACCGGGGGGGAGTGGTGTAGGGTTATTAAAGTTAATCTACAGAATTGACTTACCAATATCAGGACGGGTATGAAAGATTGTTCAACTCTGTGATCACCATATCTATCAACTAACTACTCATGAGTAGTACATTATGATAAAGCCCACCGTTATAACGCTCATGTATGCATTGACCTTATTTATCAGCTTTATCATACATGTATCGTGGAAAGGTCAACCTAATTTAATTCAGGCAAAATTATCGAACGACTTATCCTAGTCTAATTTATTCTTCAGAGTTTCGCAAACAGTTAATTCAAAGTGACCGTAGACCGTCCGCAACGTTCAAATTCCCTGAAGCTGCCGGATTATTAGGTTGCACACCCCAACAACAATATCTCGTGAGGTTGGATGTTTTATTTATTTTTCTCCACATTTCGCCCGATACCACTACTCCGTTGAAATGTTTAAACAACGGTTAGCACTAGCCGTGGCCCACTTCTTTTGAAAAATATGGGTCTTGGGAAGCTACATTCTGACATCTAGACACCGTTAAAATTCGCATATTCCGATATCTTCGAGCCGTAGTAGAGTGCACATTTCGACCAATAGCAAAACAATTGTGCAGTGTTGTTATACTGGCCTCTCTTTTCAAATTTATTTTGGGAAAAGTTTGTTTTAGTTTCAAGATCAACCTGTTGTTGCAGTTCCCAGTTTCTTTCTATTTTATTTAGTAAACATCGAACTTAAATTCCACTTGATGACGATTGGGCCGCAGCTTATAAAGCCACGATTCTAACA